CTTAATAGTGGCAATATTAGATACTTAAGTAAAATTTGTAAATGAAACATTTTTGATTTTTGATTTTTGATTTTTGCATTGTTTTGTTTATTTTTGGGTTTTGAAAAAAACATTTATGTTTCCTTAATATTTTGAATTGACATAATTGAATTTTCAATTTGTAATTAAATATGACCGAAGTGTGACTTAGTAAATTTTATTTGGCAATTGCAGTACTTTTTGAAAGCTACAAGGAATTTTGAGAATTGTTTGAATTGTATGTCATCTTGTACAAAGTAGACAGTAAAATTATATATCATAAGGAAAAATTGTAAGCGCTTCTTCATTTTGTCACATAAAGATTGATCGATAAATAAATAAAATCTACTTAAATTTCCAAAAAAATGGTTAGGTTTCGGTTTGTATCGCTGAATTTTATGTATTTTTATCGCTAGTATTCATAACAACTTTCTGTGTTTGCGTGACCAAATCATTTTCAGCAGATAACACGACTAGATGTAAAATTCCAAAATAGAAATGACGACACAATGGTGCCTTAGTTTGTTTGCAACTAAGTTTATAACTAATCAAAAGATTATTTCTAAATTTAGAAGCACACACATCGCAACATGTCATAAATATATTTAAAAGTCCATTTCTTTTATAAATAAAGAGGCTTACGTACGCAAGCTGACTTTTCCGCATGGAACCGAAATTTTGGGAATAAACTGAAATCATGGTCTTTGTATGGTTGCAGTAACTTAAATTACCGTGAAAACTTGTGAATATTATTTTCTTATCAAAATAAATAATCACACCAAGTTTAAAGAAATTTCAATCAAAAAAATAGCCTGTTCAAAGTTTCAGATCATTACGGTACCACAAAGGCAAGTCTTTCATACAAAAATGAAACTTTTTGTGGATTTTTGTATGAAAAGTGTGTGAAAAATTGATTGCATCTTAAAACTAACATCAGATTCAGTTTTCTCCCCCCACTACACATTCATTCAGCGTTCAAATTGAAAGAATATCATTTTAAGGCATTTTTCTCATAAGTGCCTCTTCACAGTCTAAGTTTTACACCGATCAATCAATGTCGTTGAAAATTTGACCAGATTTATTCCTCGTAGTGCCCAATCATCCCGTGAAGTCACATTTTGAATTTCATGTCTGAGCACGAAACCATCGTGTCACCAAAATGGTTAAGAAATGATCAAAAATGTATGGATGTGGGATTGTGGGTACTCCATTCGGACCAAAAAAAATTACACCGGTCAACAGATATTGCTCAAAAACTAATCAGCACGTCTCCTAGTAGTCCCAAATCATCCTGCAAAGTCAGAATTTCAATTGAGTTTTTGGAAGAGGATTTATCGTGTTAACAAATTTTGGCAACACGCCACAGGACACAGGACACAGGACACATCACACACAGCGACGCACATTAATATGCCCCAAAATCATCTCCAATCGTGTTTTCTACATTAAATATGCATAGAAAACATGTTTTGGGATGACTTTAATTTTTTGGCCTAATACAATACCTTCCCTACACTAGGTGTGCGGAAAAGTAAAATTAAAGTAGAAAATCAGATGTCTCGTATATTTCATTGTAAACGGAAGCATTTTCATAATTATACAAAAGTTTGAACAATTTTCGAGTTACTATATCCAATTTGCTGAACCGTGTTTAAGTTTTCTCATCAATAAAAGATTTTTTTTAAACTTTATTTAGTGATAATGTATGGAAAATGTAAGGTATGTAAATGTAATGTATGTTTCACGGAGCAAAACATACAGTTCTAAATAGAATAGTCAACTGTACATGTTGAATGAGAGAAACAATACATACATATAAACATCACATGTATCGTATACTAGGGTAAAACAATTTTTCAAATTTAGTGTCATATCTTGGTGGTTACTTGAAAAAGCATGTCTTATGATCTCCAGATTCAGGATATGAAAGAATTTTCAACTTTCTATCTGATATAAGACATCTGTTTGAAAATAAAAGTGATCCATTTTACTGAAAAATCACCGTGAAAACGTGTGAATCTTATTTTCTGACCAAAATACATAATATCAGCAATTTTGATTAAATTTCAATCAAAATTAAGGATACCTCCCATACAACATTTTTTTATCAGAAAATTTCATAAAAAAAGTAATTTTTTGAGTGAATCGCCTCTAGGTTTGTTCTCATTACTTTTCCTTCATTCTAGGTCGTACAGCAACAGCCATATATTTAATCGAGAAAGGGGCGGATGTGAATTCCTTCTATTGAGGTAATACACCACTTCATAAAGCTGCTTCGCGTGGTAATGATTCATTTTTCCAAATTAAAAATAATCGTTTTCAATGAAGCTTATTCTCATTGCTTTTCGTGCTTTCTAGGTCATACAGATACTGCCAGAACTCTCATCGAAAGAGGAGCCAATGTAACTGCAGAAAATTGGGAAAAACAAACACCACTTCACCTAGCTTGTTTGCGTAATTGCTCATTTGTCCAAATTAAGAATAAATATTTTCAATAAACTAAGTTATTCTCATTATTACTTTCGTGCTTTCTAGGTTGTACAGATATATTAGTCATATATCTAATGGAAAAAGGATCCAATGTGAATGCTGAAGATGTGAGAAAACAAACACCATTTCACTGGGCAGCTTCTGAATGTAATTGTTCACTTTCCCAAATTAAGAATAAATGTTTTCAAAGAAGTTTATTCTTTTTACTTTTCGTGCATTCCAGGTCGTACAGAAACAGTAAAATATCTAATCGAGAAAGGAGCCCACGTGAATACTGAAGATGGAGATAAATGGACAGCACTTCACCACGCTGCTGCGAACGGTAATTGTTTACTTTTCCAAATTAAGAATAAATAGTTTCAATAAAATCTTATTTCGTGATTCGTTTGCATATTTCTTACTTCATTCTATGTTAGAGATAAAGCTTATTATCATAAATCATTATAATGATTCGGATCACAGTAGGCTGGTCGGATTTTGATCCTCTCGGAGATTTTTTTCTGTCCGATGCCATAATTTAACATTTTTGTGGATTTTTAATTATGGATACAGAGTCTGTATTACAGACACATGACATTATTTCCAAATTTTAGTTTTACTTATGTGTCTCTGCCGTGTTAGCAACGTTCATAATTTGAGTTTTTGAGTTAAAATCTACAAAAAAAATCTCAGAGTGGATCAAAAGTTGACAAGCCCAAATCACAGTGCCAAAAATTTCGTCTTACTGTTACAAAACTCTTTTCAAAAATGTACAAGTCAATAAACAATAACAAAAGTCATAATGCTTTTTACTGGAATGTCTTTTCCAGGCCAAATTGGCACAATTGCATTGTTAATAGAAAATGGTGCAAATCTACTCGCTAGAAATAATAGAAATGAAACTTGTGAGGTGGCTTACAGAAAAAGAAAAACGCAAGCAGCTGCACCTTTAAAGGAAAAGGAGGACGCCATTGGTAATTTATCATAATTTTAATTAAAGCCGTAATAAAGTCATCTTTTAAAATAGCTTGATCACACAAAACCTGTGTCAAAGGATTTAAGGATCATAAGTGACATCAGTGTATACTAGAGTGTTTCCGTAGTCAAAAAATAAAAAAATGGTAGTCGTTAATTAAAAGTGCAAAAAATTCTAAGACAAATCATGACATTTACACAAAGCATCGAATGATATTGACACTTCCCGAAGCAAAAAATTCTTTATAGCA